TTAAGCACACAAAACTAGTACTTTTCCCACTTCTGCTGTGCTCAGACCCAATGTTTTAAGTATGTGTTTTCTTCCATAAATTCTAGTCTTTTTGCCGATAGATTTTGCCATTATACTGTATTTCTTGTAACATTGCGAGTTCATGGCGTGCAGGAAATTCTTGCTTGTTTCCAAATGCCTCCTCCACACTCAGCATATGGCCTGGAATCCTAAGCCCTGGATTGTGAGTGCAGCTGATGCATTGTTTACCACTGAGACTTACAGCTCTGTCCTATTTCCTCATTATTCATTCTTTACTAAAGTAACACCACGGTCCATCTAGGGCAGTGGGACGGGGACCGACACATGGAGGTGGCCTTGTAAGGACAGGCCGACGACAGCACGCCTCCTAAACACAGCTACGTGATTCCAGATAACCATCACCACCAGGAAAACAGTGATTATTGTTCTTGGTGTTGGTAGAGGCACATTATGTAACCGTCTGAAGGGGGGCAGCGTTAAACTACCACTAAAGATTGCATAAAAGCCAAGTGTGAGAGAAGCAAGAATACATTTTGTTTTATTTTTTAGTAATATCAATGAAAACGACTGATATTAGGATAATAGTTTACTAGTATAGTATTGAATGATATTTGTTTAAAGCTTGGGTACCCTTCTTTTCCCTCATTAAAAGTATGTTGTATTTTGAGTATTATAAATGTAAAAAGCAAAAAAATGCACTCTTCATCTTAGATTAGAAGATTAAGATTTTATTTTATGTTTTTAATATTCTGTATGATCTTAATGTTTGTTTTGAATGCCCTGTATTTAATGCTTATGATTTATGTCTCATGTGATAGTGGCTGTGAAGCACTTTGTGTTACCTTGTTTAGGAAAAGCGCCTTTCAAATTAAGGGTTGATTGATTGATTGATTGATTGATTAGATAATATTATATCTGGTTCATACTGTAACTGGAGTGAGGGCAGAACTCTCTCTTTCACCTTCTTGCCTGAAAAATCTGGAAAATACATGCATGTTTTGAGAGCAAAGAAGAATTGTGTAAGTCACGTTTTAGTGGTTTGAAAGTTAGGTCTCCCAGCTTTGATGTTTCATAAAATTAAAAATCAATATTTGGGGGGGGGGATCACATCATTTGTAGGAAACACCAGTACGTCTGCATTATATTTCATATTCATAAATGCAACAAGTGGTTAGAAGAAAAGGAGTATTTGAGTATTCCCTGACCTGTCCAGAATAAAGCTGGTCCAGGCTCTCGTCGATCCACTTCTCCACATCCAGCCTCTTCTGCAGCTCTTTGCGGTTGTATTTGACCGTGACCCGCGCATGTCTCTTGGGGACGGCTCCTCCGTGCAGCTCGTCAAACTCCGGGTCAAACTCGGGCTCCTGGATCATGTCCTGTGGGTCCTGGGGGTCACATCCAGCCCGCTCCGCAGCCATGGATGCCCGGTGTGTCTGTGTGTGGGAGTGACTGGTCAGACGGGATCCTCGGCTGTGAGAGAGGAGCGGGAGGGACGCATCCACTCTCTACTATACTCACACGTGGGTAATAACATAATGCAGCCAAACATCTATAAGTGATGACAAACTGTTCAAAAAGAACACTCATTTATTAAAAAGTTAAATTTTATCCTTATTTTTTATTAGAATGAAGCTGTTTGCACAACTTTTTCCTCCTTTTAAAGCTTGTCCACAAGGGGGCAGTAGGACGCTTCTGTGAGTAGGGACCATGTCGTGTTGTCATCATGGTGTTTATGTGGATTCTAAACATTAGAATATTTTAAAACGTTTAATATATTTTGAAGTCATTTGAAAGTTGGACATTTTACCCTTTTTTTCTTTGGACAGACAGATAACAGTCTCTCTTTTTTATTTTACTTTCTTACTCAAAAACTGTTATTTGATATGATTCCGTTACTTTTGTGTGTGTGTGCGTGTGTGTGTGTGTGTGTGTGTACGTGCGTGTGTGTATGAGCATATGTGTAAATGGTTTAGTACTTGGTGTATTAACTTCTCTTTACAAATATCTATGGAGCTCACAGACTATCTTGGCATTCGCTGCATAGAACAAAACCAAACATGGAGATGAGAGAAAAGCCAAAACAAAGTGACTTTTAGAATCAAGTGGGAGGTACTCAACTTTTACAAATGTTGATTATAGTCAGATGTAATAGCTTGCATCTCCACAGAGCTGACCTGTGTATGTCTTGGAGGAGCCTTCTTCTGGTAGTTTAAATGAAAATGCTGTTGCTTCAAGTATAATATTCCACATAATATTCTGTTATATGGCACAAAACTGGTGGATCATTCCAAATCATATAAATCCTATCCCATAATTCCATAGTAGACGATTTGGTTTTAGCTTAGTTTCCTGGAATCATGCAGACAGAAAGTTTCCCAAATTATATTCTTATGTGAAAATGAAGGATGAAAACAAAATTGCCTGAACAACTTTTTCTTTTTCTTAATCAAATACGTATTTTTTTTATTCCACGTCACAACCACAACATGACAAACCAAAACATGAAAACAAACTTTGGCATAAACACAAAAATGGTACAAAAGCAAACGATAACAAAGTTCATAAATATAAATATAATGTAACAAAACATGGCTGACTGGTGAGATAAAGCACATGTCCTCATATCCCTGCCTCGGACTTTATCTTTGGGATGTTTCAGCCTGGGGCGGTCCCATTACATGGAGCGTTGGTCAGCGTTCAGCATCATATAAATAAAATCTATACATCTGCGACAATCATCGTGAAGCCATAAACTAATCTTTTATAATAAATAAATAATAGCATAAGAATTAAAAAAATGATGGTACGCACAAAAGAAGATTGAAAAGCAAATCAAAGTTGTGTCAAATCAAAAGGGGAAACAAAGTGAACGTAACAAAGATAATAATCCAATAAAAAAAATGGTGTCCTGGGCGTGTTTGTGACTTTGCAGTTTGGTCCGGTTTTTGTAGGTCCATAGAAAGTATATTGTTTTTTTCTTTGGATATTACTGGAGGAGCTCTGGCCCATAAAACATCTTTAGTTCAATATTTGCTCATTCTACTTACATTTTTATTGGTATACTATCTTCAACACAAGCCCATTGAGCTCATGAAATGTCCTTCTCTTCAATGCACATGAGGAAAAGGAGCAACAAGTGCTATAATACATCTTCTATACAGAAATCCCTGTTGTCCCACTCATTCACCTGAGTGCATGGCCCAAGCTGGACTCGTCCCTCCACACAAAGTCCTGTCGCTCTCCTCTGGACAGGCCGCTCTCCGCTGGGGTGTGCCTGTAGCCGGGCCTTCCATCCGGGCATAAGGACAGGCTGAGGCGGGCTGTGCTGTTGCTGATCTTAAATAAACCATTCGGGCTGAGAAAAGAGTCTCTCTCGCTGCTCTGGTTGTTGGCAGTTTCAAAGTCGTTGTAAACGGCGATGTCGCTCAGAGGTTTCCTTCCCTGGAGCCTCCGCCGCCGTCTCAAGAAGATGATGCCGACCACGAGCACCAGGACCATGATGGAGAGGATGCAGGACACGGTGACGGTGGCAGAGGAGGGCTGGGCGGTTTGGAGAAGTGCTGGTTTGAAGGCGGGAGGCTGCAGTGTGAACTCGCAGCTCGGCCCCATGAAGCCTTTGGGGCACTGGCACACGGGGCCCGAGAAGTGTGTGAAGCAGGTGCCTCCGTTCTGGCACGGCCTCTCCCCGCAGGCGTCAGAGCGCACACTGCAGTTCTTGCCCGTGTAACCCAAGGTGCAGGAGCAGGTGTAGTCATCCACGCCGTCCTGGCATGTGCCGGCGTTCTGGCACGGGTAGGAGGCACAGTCGTCGATGTTCACTTGGCAGTTGGCGCCGGTGAAACCAGCCTGGCAGCGGCACAAGATGCTCTGGCCCAGATCCAAGCACTCACCTCCTGAAGAGGACATGAAGAGAGTCTATTAGGACCAGGCTCAGTAGTAGTTGTAAACAGTGACCAGCAGAGGGCGCTAAAGACACTCACCGTTCATGCAGGGCTTGTTGCTGCAGCGGTCTAACTTCTTCTCACAGTTGGAGCCGGTGTAGCTGGAGGGGCAGCTGCACGTGTAGCCGCCGGTCATAGTCTCCACACAGGTGCCTCCGTTAAAGCAGGGACCATCAGCACAGGTCATAGCGATGATTTCACAGTTTTTGCCATAGAAGCCCTGAGGGCAGGTGCAAGAGTAATCATTCTCCAGATCCTGTAGAAAAGAAGATAACAATGTTATGGTCCAGAATTACATATTGTAGATGATTGATGAGTTTGTTTCCAGTTAGATATTTTTTCTCCAAACTAAATAATCTACTTACATTGCAACTGCCTCCGTTCTTGCAGGGATTGCTGTCGCACTCGTTGGTCTCCAGCTCACAGTTGGTTCCTCCGTAGCCGGGGCGACAGGTGCATGTGTAGCTGCCCTGTCCTGTGTTGGTGCAGGTGGCTCCGTTTGCACAGGGCTTGTGGTTGGTGCAGTAGTTGAGGTCCTGGTCACAGAAGAGGCCTCCCCATCCCTCCTGACAGTTGCACTGCCATGGCTGGCTGCAGGTTCCATGCAGGCATCCTGGGTAGCGAACACACTCGTTGCAGGAGGGGCCCTGCCATCCCATGCGACATGTACAGCCCCCAGGGGCCTCACAGTAGCCGTGCCTCTCACTGCAGTCCGCTGAGCAGATGGCTGAAGAAAAGAAGGAGGTGTGTGATTACAATGGGCACGCCTTCCCCAACATCACACACAATAGTAAAGGCCCCCTCCTGACCCCTCCCCAGTCCAGACTTCACTGTTGGTTAAGCATTAAGCCAAGCAGCTGGTAGACACACCGCCCGAGGAAAGCGCTTTCTTTTTTATCTCCCCCATCGCACACGCACAAGCGTACACAAACACATCACCTTGAAATATGTGTGTCTAATGAGGTCCCGCTCTTTCTCGCATTGTACCAGAGAACAAAAGGCAGATGGGACACACAGACTTCCCTGCCTCATCCTAATAGACATTATTTGGGATGTCACAAAGATAAAGGATTTACTTTATGTGGTGTGAATAGACTTCTGGCCAATCTGCCCACTTCAAACAATCCCAGTCATTAGCTGGACAGGGGCTGGACAGGAGCTGTGATAGAACGTCTTCATGCGTGCCTTCACCTATTGAGCAGGACTGGGGACTAATGCTATTCTTTTATCAGCCATACTTTGTTCTTTTCCCTTTGTAAATGGACTGTATACAGGGATTTTGCTTATGCACTATTTACAGTATAGGACTGCTTGGGGGGAGGTCTCACCACTGTTTTAATTTCTCCATGAGTTTAAAACACAACTAGTCATGATTGTGGTGCACTTTCACAGTGATGAGACTTACGCTCAGAGCAGTAGTTTCCTTTCCATCCTTCCAGACAGATGCGGTTTCCTTCCTCGTCGCAGGTGTAGTGGCCCAGAGTGTCGTCCCGGGGCCTGCAGTAGTCAGCACAACCATCTCCAAAGTAGTACTCATCGCAGAACACGTGGTAGGAGTACCGCAGCTCGCTCTGCTCTCCAAAGTGCACGTCTTGAGACCAATCCTCTCCGATGGCCAGCCTCCTCCTGGTGGCAAGGCGGCTCACCAAGTTGTTCTGGTTTTCTGGATATTGCAAAAGTAGAGTATATGTTAGTGAATATAGTTAAATCACTAGATCCTGCCAATTGCTTTTAGTCATAGTAGATGAGCTTACCAGTGTATTCAGTCTGAGATTCTGCATTCCAAGCTTCAATAATGAGTGAAAAAGTTCCCTAAAGCAAAAAACAAAAGTCATTATTATATGTTCAACATGTTTGGTAAGTAATAATTGCTCATACAGTGAACACTTACAGGCCACTTGAAGTGAAAAGGGACTCTGATTGGAGCACTGCTTGAGATGGATGTGTGGTCAGCGCGGATGACGTTGGTGTGTCCGGTTCCAAAGGTGCAGGGTGGCTCAGCAGAGATCACGTCTTCTGGATGCTTCAAACAGATTCGGAAGAAAATATGACAGTCCCGATGCTTCCTGCAAATGCGATGCGCGGTGTGGAACGAGTGGATCTTGAGCTCGAACACGCCAGAAGACAAAACCTGGAATAAACAAATGCGTTGGATTAAATATGTCTGTGCGTAAATCTGTGCGTAAAAGGGTTTGGTCTGAGGGGTCACTCTCCAACTTCGCGTAAAGATTCTAACTATACTTACAGTGTTGATGAGCACAAGCGCCAAGCAGCATCTTAGATAAAGGTGAGCCATTTCCAAAAGTATTGTTTCACTTAGATGATAGTCCGCATTCGTTCCTTGTAGTTCCCCAATTCATTGATGTTAAAAAAGTGCTTTCAAAAGTCCCTCATTCCAGTAAAATATAAAGTCCTCGCGGTTGCTTCTTGGACGACTTCGTGTCCTCTTCTTGTTCCTAACTGCACACTTGTGTTTACGTTCTTGTGCGCACAGAAGGACGCGGAGAGCTTTTATACCCGAAGCGCAGCGTCACTGGCACGAGGCGGGGCGCGCGCGGGGGGGGCCCCAGGGGACTGCTGACACGTGGGGGTCCGCCTGGAGGTTTGCAAAGCCCACACTACATCTGGACATTGGAATATGCATTAGAAGCTGGTGCGAGGCTGATATGTTTCACTTCACTGCATGAATTTTAATCAGCTTGAAAGCGTCATGATGCTGGCATTTGGCAATAAACAGAATATAGGAAAACACGAATATAGTTATTGAGCTTTATTATGTTTAGATGAAATAATCATAAAAAATACAATGGTAATACACCGTGCGGATCTGTGTAGTAGTTTTTAAGTGATATGTGCAACAGTTTGCAAAAGAACAGCCCTTATCTATCCAATCATATCTGAGTTCTTCGCGATGGCTTCACCAAGTTGTTTTTCACTTTTTCCAAGGCCTGTTATGTTCACCAAAGTAAGGAAGCTGTAAAGAATAGCGCTGAGCTTTTCTTTCTTCAAATGCAGCCTCCTAATTGCCCTGACGCGTGTGGAGTGAATGCCCGGGGGCAGGTCCAGCTCCATTGTGCGTGTGCCGTGCCCTCTGCGGCTGTGGTGCAGAGCGTGTGCGTGTGCGCAGGGGGGCGCCTGGATGGTGGGGGTCTTCGAGAGTTCGGACTATCATGTTGCCTTTGTTTGGGCCCTCTCCGAACAGCTGTATGGTAATCAGCGGCACATGGTCGGCTGTGTGTGGGGGCGCCCAGCTCCGCCATTGTCTCCCTAGGCGTCCGCGCGCACGCGCATGCACGCCCTAGAGTGCGAGTATTGATTTAGGAAAGAACACCTGTCACTGGCGTGCAGATAAAGCCAAGTACATAAGTGTTGTTGACATAGAAAGTCAAAACTGGCCTGATGGAGCAGCAGAGAAAGAGGAACATGTGCTGCTAAAAGTTATAGCCAACATAAAAATGCATTATTGATACTGGATACTTTATTATCACCCTTCAATCCTCCAACTTGTAGCTATTGTCACAACATTATATTGTGAAATGAATATAAAATAACTTAGTTTTGAAAAGTTGCATCCTGCGGGACAGACATGTTGAGGATCACCCAGACTGCAGACTCATGTCTTGAGTATTTGGCACATGTCCCAGTGCATAAGCATGTCTCCTGCTGCTGCAGTGGCCTGTGCAGTCGCTGAAGCGTGGTGTAGGGGGAGGTCCATTCATTCATATTCAAATGAGGGACAGGACGCGTGCCTGAAGTGGTGGCCATGCATATCTTGGCACACTTCTCCCAATAAGAACAAAAGAGTCGTCAAAAGTGAACAGGGCCAGGGCACAAACTGCAGGCAACATAAAGTTGTATAGCCCTTATAGGCATGTTAACTCTTAACCCTTCACTGCCCAGAGTGGCATAAATAACTACAGTCAAATCTATTCTGCATGGCATTTGCATCTGCGATTTAGTATTGGAACTTTAACCCAGTACTATCATAAAGAGCAAATCATTTCACATTATTTCGTGACTGTACTGTGGACTGAACAATTATAATTCAATTCATGGACTAATAATGCTGTGGTGTTATTCACAACTAGATTCATAGACAGAACATGAATGTTTGTTAGCAAACTTGAAGAACCTGCTTCTGAACTGATACATATATATTGGACTATCAGTCGCATTGTGCTCAAATCACATCTTCCTACCGTCCTTGGTTTATTCTGAATTCAAGATTTGGTGTTACAGATGGTTACAGCCATTTAGGGATCTATTTCTTGGGATATTGGTCTAAATCTTAAAACCCATCTGCACTGAACAGAGGATCTTTGGGATGCCATGATTCCTGTTACACTTCATGTCTCGTTCCTGTGTGGATTGTTTTGATATGAGGTTCTTCATCGGTATCCTGTCAGTCGGATTTGTCTGTCTCTCTTCAGATTCAGATTCATTTATTTGTCATTTGCAGTAAAACCACATTGGAATACATCCGCAAAAGTCCCCAGTTGGTCCAGTCTTATCTTAAAAGCTATTGAACATGTTCCATGTTCTTATCCCCCATTTTATTTAATTTTTATATGAATGAATTATCTCATTGTGAGATTTCATAACACTTTGAAGCAACTTTTGTTAAAGTTAAACTCATCATTCTATCAATGTGCAGAAGCCTGTACTTTTCCCTTGTTTTGTCTATCTGTAGGCCAAGCTACATGGCACTGTGAGACATGGACAATACCATCGTCCTCTTTTGCATGGACATCATTTGGAACAATTGGATTTCTGAATTTGGACATAATTTGGACTGAATTGGAATTGCTGAATCTGGACACTGAAGCTGAAAAGTGTGATTGAAATAACACGTCACAGAAGAATTCATGGCTCGACACAAATGCAGCCTGAAGAAACCAACAGGAGAAGTGGGAGAGACTGTTTTCAAAGCAATATCTGGAACCACCATCGACTGATGAAGTTTGGTATTTTACTGAAGATTGTTGACAAGTTTTATGAAAGATCTGAACATGTTTTATGAGTTTTCTGAGTTTTTGAAGTATTCCGAGTTCTGAGTTTTTTGAAGTACCGAGTGAAGTACCGAGTTTAAGTATTGAGTTATGATGTTATGTTGCTGTTTATCGATCCTCCGAATGTGAGAGGGAATGTGAGATTTCATAACACTTTGAAGCAACTTTTGTTAAAGTTAAACTCATCATTCTATCAATGTGCAGAAGCCAGTACTTTTCCCTTGTTTTGTCTATCTGAAGGCCAAGCTACAAGCACACTGTGGAAGCTGCTGATTGGAGGTCTCCAGCCTCCGCTCTGTATAATACACTTGCATTCTGTTGTATCTGTTGTATCTGTTGTTCGTGCTGTCTCTACCATCGACAATAAAACATGTCTTCTGTCTGAATGTAAAACGCGATCCCAGACTTGGCTCATCTTCTTCATCATAGTCCTAACTCATGTAAAACTGGCTGCATGGTCGGCAGCACAATTGAACCATCTAATGTATGCAGATGATTGTGTCATTTTTAGTCCAAGCTCAGCTGGTTTGCAGCAACTTCTTAGTATATGTTCAGTGTTTGGGGAAATCATGATGTAAAGTACAATTATTCCAAAAGTGCCATTATGATCTGCAGAACCACAGAGGACAGACATTTAACCTTTCCGGCGTTTTGACTCGCTGATAAGGTTATTAATATCTGTAGTGAAATTAAATATCTTGGCCATCTGATCACAGATCGGCTGACAGATGATGAGGACATTATTCGGCAGCATCGTTTGTTGTATTTAAGGGCGAATGCTTTGGTGCGTAAATTTGTTTGCTGCACTGTCGATGTGAAGTTGACCTTATTCAAAGCCTACTGCTCTCCTTTGGCTGGCTGAACTACAAAAAAGCTACGATCTTCAGAAACTGCAGGTACTGTAGCTTTCAATGACGCTCTGAGGGTACTGTAAAAAAAGCCCAGATCGACTCATGCGAGTGAGTTGTTCGTGAGCAACAGATTGAACACACTGGAGTCTGTCGTAAAAAATGCAATGTTTAGTTTTATTCGCCGATTGAACGAGTCTGTGAACCTGGTTGTTGTTGTATTGGTGAATGTCAAGTTCAATACAACACGCTGTATTTCTCAGTTCTGGGAACACTGGTGCAAGTGTCTTTGTAAATGAGTCATTAGACTTTGTTATTTTATTTTTTATGTTTTTCTGTGTCTTGTGGTGTCCTTGTGTTGTCTTTTGTATGGACCTTGAATCCGGAATAAAGATTATATATACATACTGTCGGATGAATATTTGGCCAATAGTCCCAAATACTTTAGCCCTGGAAACTGTCCCCTCTGAAACACACAGGCTTTGCATCTGTCGGCATATCCAATTAGTTACTATTTGTAGAAGTGGAAGAGGAACTCCCACATGCTACTGGCCAAATGGGTTTGTGCATATCGAAATGATGAGGCTTATAATCACACCAGATGTTTCTGAAATACATATCATGCAAACTTAGAATATTTATACAACATTACTCTTTATTTGGGGAACATGAGCGCTGACCCTATAGCCTACTCACAGTAGTGCATGTTTTAGCAAACATATTGTCAAAGAAATGACACAGAGGCAGCAGCGATCTCACACTTGCAACCCTTAGTTTATTTTACAGTTTTTCCAGACAAAGCCTTTTATATGAAGTGTGGGAATGGGCATCAGAGACACCTTGAGATATTAATGACACAGATCCTTGAGATATTGATACATATTATCAATGTGGGTCAGAACAAAGGCGTCAGAGGTAATAATGCTTAGACCAGGCAACACAGATATAACCGAGGTCTCCATGGCCTTAAACGATTTGAATCTGATTCCTTGAATATTCTTCATGTTTGTCGTAAATCCAGAATATGCAGAGTCAGATTCAACAATATTATGACTGATTAAAATGTTCTGTGTCACCAACATTTTATAATGTTGAGTTTAGAGTAAAAAAGTTGAATTCTGTCAAATGAACAGAGATGAGGTCTGTAGCTCCGAAGTTGTAAACCGAAGGTTTATTATGTTTTATCGTGTTTTACAGCCCTTCAGCACGTTCAGTCCTGACGTCACTCTGGGGTGAGTTAGGTTTGCTTCTGTTAGATCCAGAATGAAAATCATGCTTCTTAATGATGAAAATCTCTATTTATAAACAGACAACGTTTTCAGGATGAGATATTTACATAGATATTGAAAAAGAATGAATGAAAATATAAAATGAAATAAATGCAACAGTATTTTCTGTTGCAGCAGGAAACAGAAAGTAAAGGTTGAAACATCTCTGTACAATAAAGGATTTTCATTTCAATGTCAAGAGTGCCTTGGATTACTTCCTCTTCTCAGAAAATGAAGGTTTTTGGAATAAAATGGAGCACAGTTTGATGAAGGCGTCAGAACAGAAGAAAGAATTATGTTATAAAGATCACAAAAATGAACCAGGAAACACAAACTCGACCACAGCCTTTTTCAAAGTTGTTTCATATCAACAATGTAAGATCTAAATGACACGATTCATAAATACTGGAACACAATAGACAAATAACATTGTTGGGGAATAGCTGGTGTGCAATACTAATGTGACTCATTGTTTTTGTGTTAATCCAGAAAGATTTTGTTTCCTCAATGAATGCATTTATCACATTCATCTTTCTTTGTATCAGCTGTATTTTGTACATGCTAATTTCCTTAAGCTATTCATATTTTAAAAATACAATTTCAGTTTCAGTAAGACCAACATGCAGACGAATTTAATAATGACTATTATTTATTCAACTTTTTGAAACATATATTATCTAATGATTGGCACACATTGTACTCAAGTTACTAAACAATAAAATGTGTTTGAAAAGCAAACTTGGCAAACAACACAACTTTTGCTTTTGAAAAGGCCACGTTGTTGTCAAACCATACACAAAGTGATAAGATCTGTCTTTAGTGTTATGAAAACAGAGAAGCTTTTACATCTCATATTGAGTTTATTCGTTTAGGGGCAAGACACACGCTACAAATGTTATGTCAACAACTTTTATTTAAATATATTTTTACATTTACTTAATAGTTAGATCTCAAAAGTTCTCAAATTCTGCTTTCTTGTGCCTTACTGCTGTGTTTAAAATATATTTTTTGAGAATACAGGGAAATATGATTAGGTCATCATTGCTCTTTTGTCACCTCTCTTTGCCATATTTTCTTACAACTCCAGTTAATTCAAAATTGCGCACCTTTCTAAACAGTCCTGGCTTATGCTAAACGACCGCCGTCACTTGACACTGGTTGTGTTTGCATTCCACATATGCACATTTGTCATTGTGCATGCATCTGCGGGAATATTGACGTACTCCAGTATCCCTGTCCTACCTGCACCCACCCCCACGTCCCTGTGGAGCTGGAGCTTTGTGTCCTGAGCAGAGCAGATGGACAGTGCACCCTGGCCGCTGTAAAGCTCACAGGGGTGTGACCACAGACCATGGGAACCTAACCGGAGTCATCCCCCTCGCCCTCAGCCTGGGCCTATACTCTATTAGGGGTAAGTGGCCAGCATCTGCCTCCGTGTGCGCAGCTTGGCCGGGCACCCTGCTCCCCCAGGACCAGCGGTGGAGGAGGATGGAGGTGTGGAGAGGGGGTGGAAGAGAAGAGGGGAGGCTCCAAGATCCAAGCCAGGCCTCAGGGGAGCTCCGGGGGCCTGCTGTCTGACGCGGGACAATGAGCGTCTGGTGGGCCGAGGGCTTGGTTCAGCATGTGTGTTTTTGTGTTTATGGGTGTGTGTGTGTGTGTGCTCCAGGGCTCATTTTTATGCATGTAATTCAGCTGATTGGCTGATCTCATTACAGCTCTGAATAAGGAAGCAATAAACGTCCTAAAAATGCAAATAGTTCCTCCTCCTCCACATTAAGCAAATTTATGAGTCGAATCAAAGAATCAAAGCCAGATTGGAGTGTCTGGGGTATTATTAGGCAAATCGCTGTCTAACATCAACTTTGTCAGAATTATGGAAGAATACATAAAACAAGGAAATTCGTGGTGGACCAAAATAGATCCTGTCCTTTTGCTTAGTCGACTATTAACGGGGAGTGCCAAAAGCTCGGAAAATTATGACGTTTCTGACCCAAAGTGCAATCTCACAAAACATAAACTCAATTTGATGAAGCTATTTAGGAACAAAATCACTGAAATATTTAGATCATTAACACAATGGCGCCTGCGATTGATTTGGTTTCAATTAGTTTTTCTTCCACATTATAATCTCACACCTCTGGACTCTCTCGGATACACTGCTAAATGTCTATTGTGTGTATTAAGATGTTTTTATGCATGCCTTTATATCTATTTCTTACCTTTTTATAACCTTTTTGCGCCATAAACTTCCTGTGACTTACTGTTTGTACAATGGAAATAGAAATAATTCTGATTTTGATTAAACATCGGAAGTAATTGTTAAAATCTTCAGTCATTTTGCTCCTTATTTGTAAATATTTCACAAGGAATAATAATAACTGACACAACATTTGCTCGACTCGATAATGTTAGCTTATTACTAATGATAACTTTGCATAGACCAGTGATTCCAAAACAATGCTGTGGACATTGAGAGATGAAGCCTTAAATAACAGCTTGTCTGAATCTGCAGTAATGTGAAAGAGCGATATGAGGTTGTAAAACTGTGTCTCATTGTGTATTAGCTCTTTTTGTTTGCTTATAATCTGCTATTTTCATTGCGCTTCCTTTTCCTTGTGTGTTTTTTCTGTTTTGGGACACCGTTTTTTACCTTAACTATAGTAAAAATTCTTCAGTTCTCCCAAAAATGCTATGCTGTAAGATTTATACATTTTGTGTTACATGCAGTGGGCGGCACGGTGGCTGAGTGGATAGCACTCTCGCCTCTCAGCAAGAAGGTCCTGGGTTCGAATCCCGGGTGGACCAGGGCCTTTCTGAGTGGAGTTTGCATGTTCTCCCCGTGTCTGCGTAGGTTTCCTCCGGGTGCTCCGGTTTCCCCTACCACTAAAAATATGTACAATAGGTCTGGCATGTGCCTCCTGTACTGGCGACCCCACCCAACAATTGTAAACCGCTTTGAGACTCCGATGTGCAGTGAAAAGGCGGTATATAAATAAAAGCTTACTTACTTACTTACTAGTATACAGGGTCAAAAAGTGAACACAAATTGTTACTTTCCACTTTGAATCAGTTTGAAACACAATCAGACGACTCATTCCCAAAAACACAGGTTATTTGCTCAAAATATCGCCTCTTCCTTATACTGCACATGGGCTGGTGGGTTAAAATGACTCACCATTTAACCAGCCGCACCGTCTAGACTTTTTTTTCCGAGGTGTGTTGTGTCAGTCTGAACAGTTGGACCAACTATAATCGCAACTTAGACAGCTATAAAAACATTACTTACATGTGGGTCTGGGGAAGAAGGTTAAAAAAACGTTATAACAGCTAGTGGTCAGCTAATTAAGGCACTGTCCATTTTGTCCACGCAACATTGTGACTGAGTAAACACACAACACATTCTCTGCTAATTTAAAAAACACAGGGAAAAGAACGTGAGTGCTTACAGACCAGAGAAGAGTTCTGGTGCTCCAGGATCGAAGCCCTTGAATTATAAAACAAATAGATGCAAAAGCAAAGAAGACAAGAATCAATGCTATTACAGACAAAGACGAAGAAATTAAAAAACCATGAATGAATTTGCAATGACTCGCAAGAAGAATCTCCAGTAGCTCTGACTGAGGAAGGAGAACCTATTTTTCTATCAGATGTGGAAAAAGTGTGAAGAAGATGACATGTCTGGGATCGCGTCTTTAATTCAGACAGAAGACATGTTTTATTGTCGATGGTAGAGACAGCACGAACAACATACACACAGAATGCAAGTGTATTATACAGAGCGGAGGCATGGAGACCTCCAATCAGCAGCTGCCACAGTGCCATGTAGCTTGGCCTTCAGATAGACAAAACATGAAGTGGAAAAGTACTGGCTTCTGCACATTGATAGAATGATGAGTTTGACTATAACAAAAGTTGCTTAAAAGTGTTATGAAATCTCACAAGTGGTCTGTGACTTTTATCGACTACAAAAAAGCTTTTGATCAGGTTCAAGATAAGATAAGATAAACTTTATTGTCCCAAGGGAGAATTGCTGTGGGATAAATTACTACACAGATCTGCGTGAATGGATAAAAATTAAAATAAAAAAATAATTAAAAAAACAGGAAAGGGCAGTAGTGCTTTGAAGTCCCTGTTTGGTCCAGTGGGGGCGGGTCCCGGCTCAAAAGTGGCCAAAATTACGTGCGCTGACATGCTGCAATACCAAAAGTTTACAGGATGGTCTAAAAGTTGGCTCTTGGCCCAAAACTCCGTTCCACATGTGTGTCAATGCTGAGGGGAGTGCATTTTTTTGGACCAGTCTAGTTTACTCGCTGTGAATTTTTGAAGTCTCTCGTTTAAATGAATGGGGCTCGTCCCGGCTGAGGCATGCACAGATGCGTTTTTTAGGGCGACAGTGGCTCAATTGGTAGAGCATTGGCCTTTGAGCCAGAGGGTCGTGTGTTCGAGCCCACCTCAAGACCTTCACCACTGACTCCCACTGATGTCTGCTGTTGTCGTTGTGTCCTTGGCAAGACACTTAACCTCTGGGAACACCAGGTGCCACAGTGGGGCGGCTGCGACTGTAAAGTGCCAAACTGCCATTGTTTCCTTAGGCAAGACACTTCACCCCCATTGCCTAGAATGGTGGTCAGAGGGGCCGATGGCACATACTGGTTGCCTCGCTTCTGTCAGTGTGCCCCAGGGCAGCTGTGGCTACAGTAGTAGTTTATCACCACCGTGTATGGAGTGAAAGAATGATGACATGTAAAGTGTCTTTGAGTGTCCAAAAAAGCGCAATATAAAACCAATGCATTATTATTATTATTTTCACATTTTCCAGCCCCCGCGGCCATTTGGAATCACTCCATGAAAGCCCGATTTTTGGCCCATTAGTTAGAACGTCGGAGATAGGCGTGACTACGTCCGTTAATATATGCAGTCTATGGTTTGGTGCCATTCTGCATCAAAATAAATATTAGATCCTGGATAGAAAAAATTAAATAGTTAATTTTAGAATGTATTCATTATTAGTTATTTTCAACAACAAAAAGTAGAAAAGTGTCACTGAAGTTGGGACAAAGGAGAGCTTGCAATCTCACAAAACTTACCCTCTACAATAAATATAGAATAACATTAATAAGTATGTCACCCTTTATTTATATATTCTGCCTAAAACCAGGATCAAAATGCTTCGCTGTTTTGTGGTCAACACTTCTGTATGGATCAGACACATATAAATCCAAACAAATTATGAATCATGGTACAATTCTCCAGTGTCAGATCAATAACGTCTATCTGTATCTTATTTGGGGCATTTGAACTGTGTGTGTGTCTAGAAAAATGATTAATATTACATGGATGGACAACGTTATATGAATCTTTTATGAGACTTTTTGTGCCATTGAAACAAAAAGTGAAAACAAAATGTTAAAACTGAGCTGGTCGTTACAACAGTATGAAGAAGGCAGTACTTTTCCACTTGACGCTCTGGGTATCTAAGGTCGAAACAGTCATAGTGTGGATTTTTTACCTGGTTTTATTTTGATTTATATACAGTATATTTGTTCTCTTGTTGAGTTTGAGATTTACTTCCTGTTTCTCTTGTTGATAGTTTGCCCCGCCCTACACCTGTGTTTCTCTTTGTGTAAATAGACCCTGTGCGCTTGTCCTCTTGTTCTCGGTCCATTGTTGTTTCTTTCCCCATGTCTTGTTCGTGGTCTCAATTTTAACTTTTTTGAGGCATTTATCAAATTATATTATAGCAAAAATATCTATTGGCAATGCAGCAGGTGCTGAGAGGACCTTCCATATTTTAGCCTTGGTATAAAACACGCTGTGAAACTGTGGTTGTGTCATTTATGCTGGGGACCAACAATGAAACATTTCTCCTGCCCAAACACATTACAGACCTATGCATCTTTTGTCCTTTTCCTCATGACCAATAAGAAAGCCAGAGGACACATTGATCTTGAAGAGCTCTCAAACAACAACCAGAAGAGAAAAGTATTTTGACCTCAATATTTGGCTAAATGGTTTCCAATAACTATTTATTTCATTTATTTGATATGGACACAACAGTTACATTGGGCAGACCAGATGCACTGCCTTTAGTGTTATAGCAAGACCATGCTCATTTTCAGCACTTGTCCACAGAAGGCTTTTAGGACACAAATATTTAAAATTTACAAATATAAAAGTAATTAAATATACAGTTCATTAATCATGTGAATAACGTTGCTCCAATTTCAGCCACAGTTTCAGACGTCTGACAAAGATGTTTGTCTGTTTGTAGTTTTAGGTCAGTGGGAAGAGCGTTCCACAGTTTGGCTCCATTGAAGACAAAGCTGGAATGTCCCAACGATGTTCTGAACTTATGAACCAGACAGTCCCCACTGACCGAGGCTCTGGTGTTAGGTCTTCGAGAGCCTTGACGTCTGACAGCCAGACCAGAGAACAGCGGTGGAACATGATCAGTGATGACTTTTAATCTTGTTGCTTTTAAGTTTACCATTTTCTACCACTTCCAGAGACAACAGATGTAAAATAGAAAGTGGAAGGTTCTGCATTTACAGTAATGTTTAATAATGTCCACTGTCCCTTTCAAATAAACAA